ATTTGAGTCTGCACAGGTTTCAAAGCTTCCTAGTGAATTTTCAGAATAGCTACTCTGTACCATGAAACCCGATCACCCTTAGTAAGTTAAATACTGCTACAGTGAAAAGAAAAATATCACGAAAATGCATAACAATTTCCGTTTTGTTATCTGGTGAATTGAATATTTTTGCAATATCAAGTATTTTCTTGTCAAATTTTTCCATAAACTCGCTTGAAAAGCCACGAAGCACTTAAAAATCGAACCATTTGGTAAACCAGCACAATTTTTTATAAAGATAACTAGGACACTGCTTCTATAGGACGCTGTACATCAAGATGAATAAAAAAAATTAGAGGACAAAACAGTTCCTATTTGTTATTCAAAAGTGTCGACTTGTCTCACGATTTTCGCTTCAAAAGAAAATTGTGCTTCAGTCAAAAACGGTTCTGCTTTCTACTGGGATATATGTGGCGCGAAGTGTTTCAAACAGAATGTGTCATAATCCCATAACGGGTTTGTATCGACCTTCCGAACACCCACGTCAGAATCAGTGACATTCTTCTATATTAACGAGTGTTTTCTGTTTTCTTATAAATACTCCCTGACCCCAACCTGCTACCTGACAGCTAACTCACAACATACCTAACATACAGTTTGACTGCAAATGACACAGATCTACCAAAACTGATACACTTGTTGCCTATGTCTTGGCACACCATACAGTGTAATGGAACTGGCAATCCTCCATCTTTGTCGGACCAAATCATACCACATATACCTGTTTAAAATTCTACTTTAATGTACGACGTTTTGGTCCCAACGGTGACCTTTCTCACGTACAAGTGACACTTCTGACAATATATCTTGTTTATCTGTCTTCCAGGTGTCCTTTCATTTGTTTTTTCTTCTATACATTTTAACTTGCAGAACCAGAACCAGATTGTATGTTTGTTGTGATTTCTAACTGTCTAGTGGCACCGTTCTAGAAAAAGCTAACGGTCTGGCTTTATTCCTGAGATAGGTAACAGTTAGACTACGTGGAAACTGTTAACCACTGTAGTCAATTTTACGGTTTTTTACGGGTCATACTGAAACCGACATCACTTTTATACATCCAACTGCCAAGCGTCTGTTTGTGTAAGCACATACATACGTATGACAGCTCGCGCCACCTCAAAACTTTTCTCACCAACGTATGAGCATTCCTAATCTATGCTTATCACTGTCAGTGTGACAAGCCACTTGACATGGATAAGAACAGCTGGCTTTAGATTGGTTTGCCCTGTGTGCATTTTCCTTTGAAGCTCCAGCTCCGCACATGGTACAGTTAGTTGATTAAGGGCTTCCCCTTCTGGCTCCTAAAACTTTTGAAATCCTGCCTCGAGGGTAGGAAATTTTGGATCAAAATTAATAACGTTCTGTCGACAATACGGCCCATCAAAGCCGGTGTCCCTCAGGGTTCGGTTCTTGGACCAGTCCTTTATTCACTTTTTATTCATGACGTCCCTTGCCCCAGCCGCTGTGAAACCTATCTCTATGCTGATGACACTGCCCTGGTGGCCCAGTCGTGCTCTGGGGATCTAGTTTACGACAGGCTGCAAAGTGCAGTGGACGAAGTATTCGAATGGGCGAATCGGTGGCTGATTAAAATTAATCATTCGAAAACGCAGGCAATCTATTCTACTAAAAAACGTAGCGGCGCCCGGTCTAAGGTTTCAGTGAATGGAGCTCGGATACCATGGGAAAGCTGTGCTAAGTATCTCGGTGTCACTCTTGACAAAGGGATAACCTGGCATAAGCACACTGAAGCGTTAAAAACTAAATTCCGTATCTCGTTTGGGCAACTCTACCCTATGCTATGTAGAAAATCAAAATTAAGTTTGATCAATAAAGTTCGGCCATACAAGATGGTTATTAGACCAGCTATAACTTACGCAAGGACGGCTTGGTTTTTTCTCGCCAAAACGCATTTGCGTAGCCTGCAGGTTTTGCAGAACAGAACCTTGCGTACAATCACTAACGCCCCATGGTATGTTTCCAACGAGACCCTTCGCAGAGACCTTGACATCCCTTACCTAAGGGACTACATCAAACAACAAGCGCAGCTACGTTACAGTCAAGCAGAATCGCATAACAACCCTTTGTTGCGCGAGTCAGTAGACTACACAGTCGAGCAAGTTCGCAAGCACACAAGGCCGCGACTCGCACTGTGAACAAAATTAAATCGTGCGACTTTAGGTCCAACCAAAATTATAATTTTTCTTTAACGACCAATCCCAAAATTAATTTTAGGATCAATTTAAAATTGCCGAATACTAACTAGCAATGCCAAGGCACCCCTCAAATTGATGCACTTCTTTTTTCTTTGCTCTGCCTCCTTCCTTCCTTCCTTTCTTCTTCCCTTCTTTCTCCCTGACTTTGTTTGGTATCTGGGCAACGAGACCTGACAGACCTACTGACTTACAAGACTTCAACCAAGAGCAAAGATCCTACGGACCGCTCTGACAGACAATGACGAGTAGTAGTAGTTACTATAGTTGATTTATTTCGTATGGCATTGATGACGGAACCGAGAAATTACCTTGAAAAGAACTACCTATATAATCTGATATCTAGGATCCTATCAACAGTTGATCAATGTCAGTAAGGACTTTGGTAGTAACGGGTGATTCATTTAGAGTTACTTTTTTGGTGTGGCTGTAATTGCTTATCGCGCGTGGGTCATGACAACTAATTTGACATTTTCTGTTTCAGTATTGTTCGAAATTTCATCATGGAAAGACTTAGTCCAGCACAGCGTCTACAAATAATTCAGCTGTACTACGAAAATCAACGTTATGCGAGAGTGTGTTTCGTGCACTTAGAGCAACTTATGGTGTACATAATCGGCCCACCGAACGCACAATTCGCCATACGGTCGAAAAATTTGGAACCCAATTTTCATTATTGGATAATACCCGACCAAATAGACCATATCCAGTACGGAGTGAAGAAAATATAGCTGCGGTAGCTGAGATTATACGTGAGGACCCTGAAGAATCGATTCGGCGCCGTTGTCAACAGCTTGGATTGTTGTATTCAACAACTTGGCGTGTTCTACGTAAGAATCTTAATTTGAAACCATACAAAATTCAACTCGTTCAAGAATTGAAGCCGGCCGACCTTCCAAAGCGTCATCGTTTCAGTCTTTGGGCTCTTGCACGGCTTGAGGAAGAGCCGATGTGTTCGAGCAAAATTTTGTTTAGCGATGAGGCTCATTTTTGGCTTAACGGCTACGTTAATAAACAAAACTGTCGTATTTGGGGTGAAGAACAACCCGAAGTTGTTCAAGAGCTGCCATTACATCCAGCGAAAACAACGGTTTGGTGTGGTTTATGGGTCGGTGGAATCATCGGTCCCTATTTTTTTAAAAATGTGGCCGGTCGGAACGTAACTGTGAATGGTGCTCGTTACCGTGCCATGATAACGGATTATTTGCTGCCTGAAATTGAAGCCCGTAATCTCGATGACATTTGGTTCCAACAAGACGGCGCCACTTGCCACACAGCCCGTGCAACCATGGTTTTATTGCGAGAACATTTCGATGAACACTTAATTTCACGATTTGGACCAGTGAACTGGCCACCTAGATCATTTGATATCACACCTCTAGACTTTTTGCTTTGGGGGGCTACGTTAAGTCCAAAGTCTACATTGATAAGCCCAATACGATTGAGGAATTAGAAGCCAACTAACCACTGGTGTAAATGAATGTATCACCTCTAACACTTCATAATCCACGTGTGGTGTTTAATTTAGATGGCAAAACGTAATAAACTGTTGGAATCAGAATAGTCGTTACCATCCACCTGCTATGAATGGTGACGCGGAATCAACCATTTTGAAATGAATAAGTCGTGACGAGTTAATAACTTTATATGACAAAAAATTGTTAGCGGTGCCAGTGTTGTGCGAGCAGGGTCAAAATCTAATCATCAAGAAGCACTTAGGCCCGTATCATCAGTCGTCCCTACAATTGTAGGGCGCGTTTATGGCATCCTTGATTGTCTTAGTTTTCTGCTTCTCCGTGTCAGAACTCTATTTTGAGGTTATGTCACAAACATCTATTTGCATCAAATTGTGCTTGCTTTTGAGTTATATCATGTTTTAACAGCCTGAAATTTCCTACAATTTAAAAAGAAAACATATCTTCACAATAGGAGAGCGCTGACGCTGACACGGGACACGTGTAATTTAGAAATTTTTGAAGGACAGAAAGGAGGATGACAATCAAGGAGGCCATAAACGCGCCCTACAATTGTAGGGGCGACTGAGGATACGGGCCTTAGGTAAACCATAATCACGCTACATCAGCTAATAATCAACTGGCGTTCACTCTGATTATTGTAAAGGTATTCGCTGTAAATTGTGGTTAATTACTAAGCTGCCGTTAGATAGGCAGTGTTGACACATCATACATTTTATTACATTTCAGAATATATATTATTATTACATTATATGGCCGCGAGATATAATCCATTTCATTTATATGCGGACGTAAACCTTCACCTACATGGAAACCATGCTCTCGTTTCTGTGCAGTAATAAACTCCACAATGTGTGAGTGCAGCCTTTATGACATCTTATGTATAGTTAAGAAAAATACTCCACAACTTTGTGTCTGACAGAATAAACATCTTAAAAACGGCAAAACTATCTAGAGGCACGTACAAAGAAGTACCTAAGAAGCATAGGTTATACAAAAAAATTCAGGGTAGGTCGTTTTTCATCTAATGACCATTCCTATAGGCTACCATCGAAATAACAAACTCAGGACATGTAGTCTAAATCGTGTCGTTCATATAATCGTCTTTCACAGGCTGCTGAGCTTCTAGAAAATGTTTCCATTGTTAGAAGTATACGTTAATGTATCATTAAACTTCTGTCAAGGTCGGTCAGTAAATTATATGGATCAGGAGCCTCTAAGAGGAGGATAAAGCTACCAATCCAAGAGGATATTTACCAATCCAAGAGGATATTTACCAATCCAAGAGGATGTTCCAATCGCGAACGCCTAAAAGACGAACTATAATAGCTAGTTCAGGTAGAGGTTTTTTAACACATTTTAACATCTCAACCAAAAATACATGTTGAAAACAGCTTATCACAATACTCTCCTCTGACACAGAAATGACACAGCCCGCTTGCTGAATCTGGTTCGTATTGTTATAGTTTAGGATTAATGTCACTATACAGTGAAGATATTTGAATTTTATCAAATCAAATTTGCTATTCTAAAATAAATAATATACTCTATACACACCTCCTTTAAAAAATCTATTATTGATGTCGCAGATATAGACCAACTAGCCAAAATCGATCCTGTTTTAGAAAAAAATTGTAATTATAATAAAGCTCCATGGTACAACAGGTCCCACATTTATGGTGTAACAAAAGAATTTTCCAAAATCTGAAAGTATCACCCACAATTTAGCGATATCAGTAATTTCAATTTGTTTACAAGAAACAGACAGCATGGTATTTGGTGTGCGGTATACAGGTTGCTCATTTGAAAAATTCCCACCACGGATTTATCGAAAATCACTGATTAAAAGAAAAAACGCCGAGACACGTCAAAAGATTTCTCAAGGGGCACAACTTTTTAACCAAAAACTACTTCAGCCCCTTTCACCCTCAGCCCCCCAGGGTCATTCCCTTATAAATTTCAAGTGACAAGGGGTAACGAGCAATAACTTGTATGAAAGGTCTTTCGAAGTTCTTTATTTTGACGTTTGATTTTTTAAAATCAGTCGATTCGTTTTTTTCTCAATGGGTCCAATTTTAATCAGTTGTGTTCACTCCCTAATCTGAAAGTTTGGATGAACTCCGTCAATGCATCATCAAAAGCTGCCATGATATCTCACAACTTTTTTTAAAATGTCCGTCGGAAATTTTAACATCGCCTATATCATTGTTTGGCCAATAGCGGGCAACATTTTGAACAGTTATTGAAATAAAATGGAACATTTTCGTGTGTTTTTGTTTTCTATCATAACAAATTAATATAAATAAGATTTGACTAATGTTCTTTAAAACGGCAAGGGTATCACGTATCTTGAAAAGTAACATTATTTTTTTGACATTATGCTGTTTTTTGACATTATGTACGCTACTCTACAAGATGTTAACCTAGCACTTAGTTGTACGTATTGTCTAAACATCAGGAGGCTTGTTATCAATCTTTGGGTCTGATGTGATGTAAAATCTGCTTCTGAGATGGCACGACTGGAGGTCTAAGCTGTAAGTTGTATGTGTTGATGATAATTACATTGGGTTCTTGTCTCAAATACACTTAATTGAGATTTAAAGTTAGAAATTAGCTACGCATCCACTTTTTCTTATCCATTCTGGAAATTACATACACAAATTTGCTGAATTTAAAAAATTAGAGAGATTAGAAATAATTATACTCACTGTACACTGTCGAATTACAAGCCATATACATGCTAACAGTAATTACATACAACGCGGGCGCGGTGATGATTTCCCGTAATTCTCCTCAGTTTTTCGTAATTTATAACTTAGAACATAAGCTCTCTTCAGAAAGCACAACATATAAATAACCCATCATATTCGGCATATTCAGTAATGTTTTTCTCACACAGCAAATATCACTGATTTTATACATAGACCAATACACATAATCATCCAGATGCGATCTAACTACTCAACCAACTTTCTTCTCAGAGATAAAGGCTACAGACCCGGATCACTCAGCCTCGCAAAACTATGCAACCAATAATGCGTAGTTTAGTTGAGGGATTCCTCCATACATGGACGTTTACAACGATCCTAGAGAGCAAACGTGGAATGACTGTTTGCGTCCTAAAAGCTACCTAGTCTGCAAGTTAACATCCTATAAGTTTTTATTCACGTTTTATAGGTTTTTTACATGATACCCGTGCAGAGTGACCGATTTAAAACATCAAACGTCAAAAAAAAAGGACTTCGAAAGACCTTTCAAACAGGCTATTATTTGATATCCCCTGAAATTTTCAAGGGGATGGCCCTGGGGGCAGAGGGTGAAGGTGATTTTTAGTTAAAACGTGGCCCTCTTGATAAATCTGTTGACATATCTGGGCGTTTTTTCTTTTAATCAGTGGTTTTCGATAAATCCGTGGTGGGGGGGGTTTCAAATGAACATCCTGAATAGCGGTATAAGCAGGCATTGACCAAGAGGCGTATTAGCCGCATTTTTTGTATAGGAAGCTGCTAATTGCTATTCGAGACTATTTTACCTTTGTTTGTACTTTGCCAACGAACTACTATTAACAAATTTTGATAACAGCATTTGATTGGATTTAGGTTCGTAGACTATACTGCTAGAGGATCTTCACCTACTCTATCTACAGCTGCCAAACAAGATTTTCCATTGCTCCGTCACTGGAGCTTTGCGGAAACTGCATATAAGCATATTCAAACTGCCAAATGAATTTAAAAAATGACCAAACAGTTCTGATTTCAAACTGTTACACGTGGATTCATGCGGAATAATCCAATTAGCGGCACTACGATATTTTTCGGATGTTCATATAAAATTTAGATTTAGGGCAATGCAGTTATAACCAATATCCAGGGATGCAGTTAAAATGAAAACAGATTAATTACAAATCACGTAATTATTTCAAAAATATACATACGCAATCCTCTTGATACGATGCTATTCAATTGACAAATCTGTATAATTAGGACATAAATGTGGTTTATGTTTTGTTTTATTTCATTTTCGGACATTAAACAGTCACCTATGTGACAGTTGATATTAGATATTGAGCTAAATTATTACCGAGCCAGCAGTAGGGGTCCGATAAATGTCAAATGCCTCACTCGGCTGCAAGAGAATTATAAATACTACAACAGCCAATCTGAATCCTTTAGCTGATTTCAGGTTACTACTATAGTAGAGGATAGGTTTAAAGGCACAGTTTTTCAAAAGTCCTGCTTCATAGGCACCCTATAACTGAAAATCGTTAACAGGTTAACTGTCAGCAGCCTTAAACGTTCCCATGTTTGACCTGCAGACCAGGCAGAATAAGGTTGAGGTCGATTTCTGGGGTAGTTGAGATTTTTGCTGAGTCCATTTCAGGACATCGAGTATGACCAGAGCATCGATATGCACCAGTGTAACAGAAGGTTAAAGTTGGTTTTGAAAAATAAAACATGAAAGAATTGAATTTTGGCTCTTGGCAAGTGACGATTGTAGAGCAAAGAAGATCAAGACTTTTTCGCTTACTCTTGGCAGATGGACGTGTATGATGGATGTATTTTCCACAATGCGTAATGAAACTAAAATCATAAATCTGAATAAGTACAAACAGTAGTAAAACTGAAGTATTTTGCAAGCTAATCATTACAAATTCTGTAATAGGAAATTTTTATTAGAAATATATGAGGAAATATTTTTAAAATATTCAACTCCTCATCAAACATGCACCCATTATTTTTTGATTCATATTTGGTTCTTTGCCATTAAAAGAAGATGAGTGATAACATTCGCTAGGCCATTCCATCCCGCACATAACGTACGTCCTAAAAGCTTTGGCACAGAATATTTATCGGATTTTTTTTCATGGAGAAATTTATTTGAACACTAACGAGTTATCACAAATTACAACTATACTATACTATCGAACTATGCGGAGCGGCTCTTTGCTGCTCTACCTGAAGCAACTTTCTTCGAACGTCTCTCATGAGGTCCTAGACGGAAGCTTTTGTTTCCGAAGACGACTTGATAATATTTTGTGTTTGTTAAAATTAAAGCCAATCAATGTTGTTCCAAAACTCTTAGGACATAAATTACGTCATTTTTATGAATAATGCATCAAATTTAACGTTAAGGTCTACATATTGTTCATGATTTCAACTAGACTAGTTCACTCTGCGAAAAACTCTTCAGCTAATCTTCAAAGGCTATACACCCTGTAGTCTAATCATATTAGACGAAAATATCCCTGGCTTGCGAATTAATTGTAAAGTCTGGTTTTATAGCTGCGAGTTGTTCAAGGGGGTATTCAAAGCATGGACGCATAAAATGGATACACCAATTTTTATGGGAAAACTCTATTCGACAACAAAGAATGAGAATACGGGTTTTTTGGGATTCAATCGCAAGTTTAGATAGGAACAAAAAACTCGTCATATAAGATTTTTAGGTATTTATGAGACCTACAAAATGAGACTACACGCAAAAAGATCTGACTACTAGCAAAAAAGTTATGGCTGAAAACCGAGGCAAAATGCAGGTTTTGGCACTTGTTGGTAATGCGACCATAATTTCAAGCAAACACTTGAAATTCTTCAAATCCGTAAGACTCATACTTCTAAATAACAACAACAAAACCGGAGTATAGTGGTCAAGTAGTTTTTTGAGTATTTCTAATTGACAATCCCAAAACACCTGTTTTCCGGCCATCATTACTAGTTTATTGAGTAATATACAGGGTTCATTCAAAGAGCATTTAATAGCAAAATACACGGGTTTATCTTGCCGATATGAATCACAAAGCATACCGAAAGATAAATGTTATTTTTATGCGAAAAACAATGGTTGCGTTTTTTCTTCTAAACAAATTCAAACATTTCGTATTTGTGAGTAATTCCCAACAAAAGATGATAGACACATCCGCTTTGTTCTAAAATGTGTATAGTAACGTATGTTTTTCGAGTATCGTAGCGCCTTTGTTCAATTACTCACAAATACGAAATGTTTGAATTTATTTATAAGAAAAAAATGTGACCTTTGTTTTTCGCATAAAAATAACATTTATCTTCCGAAATGGTTTTGCTCTTTGCGCAATAGACTAGTAGATAAATAATTAGAAATTCTCAAAAAAATACTTGACCACTATACTCCAGTTTTGTTGTTGTTACTTAGATGTATGAGTCCTACAGATTTGAAGAATTTCAAGTATTTGCTTGAAATTATGGTCGCATTACCAGCAAGTGCCAAAACCAGCATTTTGCCCCGTCTTATTCTGTAAGTCACACAAATACTTAAAAATCTTATTTGAAAAGTTTTTTCGTTCCTGTCAACACATTCGATTGAATCCCAAAGAACATGTTTTCTCATTATTTGTTGTTAAATAAAAAGTTTACACTCAAAAATTGGTGTACCCATTTTGTGCGTCCATGTTTTAAATACCTCCTTGAACAACTTGCATCAATAAAACCCGACTTTACAATTATTTCGGGAAAATTTACTAATATACTACCAATAAAGTTTTATTACTTATTGTGACTCCATACCTTTCTTAGCTGTTTTACTCTCAACCCCTAAAACTGTCGTACTGTGATTTGTTCCACTTAATATCAAACTACATAATACAAGCTTGGTACGTTTTTCCGTCTAATAACAATGGAAAGACGAAATCTCGCGTTACCCAGGTGAGCAATATTAACACGCTCCTGCAGTTACCGCAAACTTTGGCAATATTGATTCAGACAGTTCTGTTGGAATTTCTGTCACGGAAACTAACTGCAGCCATCTACCCTCCCATCGGTTTGTTTGGCCTCCAACCATGTACTTATGTATACGCTCTCACGTATATCCACATTTGCTGCGTTGAAAGCTCTTCAACGGCACCGCACGATATAACGCTTGGGGATGCGAGCGACAGCCACAGCCAGAAATGGCAGTTTTGCAACTTGTAATGCGTGATATATGACGCTGTTTATGTGTAGCGAGCTATGCGGATTGTTGGTTATTGATTTACCACCTGAAAATTGCTCCGAACCGCGTTGACTCATGATTTTCACATAACGGATGGCAACAGATAAATCATGACTGTAACAGTAACATCCTTAATATTTGCGATAACATTCGTTAAGCTCGTGGTAATATTTTGACAATCGATAACATATGGTGGGTTGATAGTTTCATCGACACGTTGCGACATATGAGCTGAGTGAAATCATTGTAAAATTAAAAGAAAAAACAGGAAAACTATCTAATGAGCTTTTGAATAAAGAAAAAACCATTAACCATTTAAAAGATTTGATTGAAAAGTTAAAATCTGAGCCAAAGATATTATCGGAGTGTGGAATGCAAACTGACACTGTGGACCAGAAACAAGCGCACACGCAAACACCTGAACCACCACCATATAGGAAACCAGCGTGCGGGAATAAACCAACTGATGGAAGCTCATCATATACTAACAGTCTTATTCAATGTTCAATCGACTTAACCGATACCAGTGGTCTGGAGAGTGAAGTTGAGTGTCCTACTGACGAGGTACTGTTGGAGCCTTGTACCGAAGAACCGGCTGCCCTGCCATCACCGGCAGCAACAAATAAAAACAACCCAAACGACCGTAGGAAGATACTTGTTTTTGGTGACGAGTATGCCAGGAACTTCAGAAAAGTTCTAGAACTGTACATTGACAAATCCAGGTTTACCATTGAGTCCTATGTAAAGCCAAATATCGAGTTTGTAATGGCGACCAAGGATATATTCACCAAAACAATACCTTACGGAAAAGATGACTTTGTAATTTTCATGATTAAGACTCAAAATATCAATAGTTCCTATTGTTTAAACAAGGGTTTATGCAACCTTCTACCACTTGGCCGCACTACCAACTTAATATTTCTGTACGAATTAAGTTCACACGCTGATAATAACCTTATAAATAGAATAAATTCCAAAGTTACCACTTATAGGAAATTTAACAGAAATACGTCAATATCGCTCACCTATGACAATCGCATGAAAGGTTCAAAACAGGGCATTGCAGGATATGTTCATGATATCCTACTGAGCAACCCATATAAAAATAATATCACGTTGAAGACAATTAATACTGAATCAGTACCATGTCATAAGCGGTTTTTTCTTGAATGACAAAGATCATAGCTTCCTAAATGTTAGCGTTTCAAATAATGTATTGTATACAAATTTAGATAGTAATAAGATAACACGAGCTAATAATAAATGCATGGTAAATTTGTTACATCTTAATATACAGAGCCTACGACAAAAGGTTAACGATATAGCGTTATTAGGTCTTGAACACAGTTATGATGTAATTTGCTTAAATGAACACTGGTACTTAAATGACGAAATTAACTACGTTAACATAAACGGTTATAAATCCATTTCCAATTTTAGCAGAGTGAAAAAAATTCATGGTGGTGTTGTCATATATGTAAAAACGGACTCAAATGCTTCACCTTTACGCACTTCATGTCTGATAGAGGCCGAAGAATTGACGTTTGAGGTTGCAGGCATATATTTTGATAAACTTCAGATTCTCACTATATACAGATCTCCTGCAGGTGACTTCAATAGATTTATAAATAAGCTATGTATTACATTAGACCAGCTTGACTATGAGAAGCATGTAGTGGTAACTGGAGACTTTAATGTTAAATTTGGTACCAATGATGAGCGGGCAAACCAAGTTATTGATGTGTTTAGCTGTTATGGAATGCAATATATGATCAGAGACAGTACAAGAGGGTCGCATTGCTTGGATAACATTTTCACGAACATCCAAGGCAGCTGTTTTCTCAAAACGAATATCTTTGATACTTACTTGTCGGATCACCTGGGGATCGAGTTTTGTTGTTTTCAACCTGGTAAAAAAAACAGCTTCAAAAGGGTAAGTTATCGGCCAATTACTGATACTGGTCTTTTTCTACTTTACAGCAGTTTGGAAAGTACTGGCTGGCAGTTTGTAAATGATGCAAATCTAAACGTGGAGTTGAAGTTTGAGCTGTTCATACGTGTTGTGACCGATGCAGTGGGTAAATGTCTACCAGAGAAAACACGCGTTTTCCAAAATAAACAGAAACAAGTCCAATGGTTTGACAATGAGTTACGTGGCATGCGCGATCACTTAACTTTCTTGATAGAATTACACAAAATCGATTCATCAACTGTGACTAAATCCGAAATAAATTGCCTGAAATCCAAGTACAGAGCTGAAATAGTAAAACGTAAGCAAGATGCAC